CCTGCTGTGCTCTACTGTCTCCTCCCCCCCATGGAGATGGGGTACAGGGCCAGGGAAGGGGACACCCTAACTTCAGCACCCCCCCCCTTTCTGACCCCCATCCTGAGCAGCAGGCAGGAGGCTCCCAGAGGGCAGCTCCAAGGCAGAGGGCAGGAGTGGTAGCTCAAATGCTAGAATTTGAGAACCTCCCAGGCAAACCAGACCAGATAACTCTCAGAGGCTCTAGGATCTACCAGTAGAGTCTGATCCAGTGGTTGGTAACCAACAGTCTATTGAATACAGGTGAACATCCTTGAGTGAAGTGTATGTATGGCTGTGCACCAGGGTTTGTATGAGACAAGGCTGGGGAAGTGATCTCTTCTATTGGATCCACTTTTCTTGGGGAGAGAGACCAGCTTTTGAGCTACCCAGGGGGGTTGCTAAACTTACTCGAGTGATTGCAGTTTCAGTCGGGATTCTCCAAAGCCCAATAAACAAAGGAAAGATTTTTGGATACGTAGTCTGAGTTTAAAATGTTTTAGGGTCTTTGTTCTGAGCCAGCAAATAGCCAGGACTACCGCTCATCCCACGCCATTCTGCAAAGGTGAGACCCAGTGGTGGGCCTAGAAAGCAGGAGATTCTGTGAGCATGTATCTAAGACTGCAAAGCCAACTATTAAGAAAAATACTTTTTTTTTCAAACTCTCACCAGAGGGAGGGTCAAGGAGCTTGAGAGTACCCCAGAGAAGAATTCCCAAATGTGCTTTCCTGGGTTCTCAAGGTGATTTCTGCATTTAAGTGGTAGCAGCAATACCAAGCCAAAACCACAGAATTTGTGACCATAGAGTTTTTAAAAAGAAGCTATTGGGGCACAATATTTTAAAAGTCTCTTGCGGGCCCTCTCCTTCTGGACAGGAGGTCATTTTGGTCTTGTGTGTTTTACTATGTCTGCCCAGGAATGGACCAATCTGAAGTGCTCCCTGGCTTGCGCTGCAGAACAGCTGTCATGGTCATGAGACACATGGTCATGACTAAGAGGTTAACTGTACCTAGCTAGGTGGCAGGCAGATAGGGATTTCATACAGATAAGGATTTCAACTGAGACAAAGGAATTTGGGTTTTTTTCCTTCCTTTGTCTCTGACCCAGTTTGGTCTAGATACTGAAGGAGACGGAAGATACGTCTCTCTCCAAGAAAAAGACTCTTCATAATGTGTAAGTAGGGTAAAGTTTAGATAAATCCATTAGACTTTATGGTTTTCTGTTGTGGGACTTTGGATTCGATGTCTGTGCTGCTAGAAATGGGTTTTCTTCTCTTTTGTAACTAAGTTTTGGCCCACAGGCATCCCGATGAGATATTAACTGGTGACTTGTTCCATCTAGTCATTAAGCCTGCAACAGGAGTATTGTTTTGATAACCTGGTATTGGTTCATTTCTGGGTTCTGGAAAATCTGTCTCTGGGATCTGCCTGTTTCTGACTAGGGGATAGCAGCCAGACTGCAGTTTGTATTTTCTCTTTTCTTTTTCAAGCTCTTTAGGGAAAATAGCTTAGGGTGCTCTGGGCTTGGTTTCAAGTGTCCACCCCATTTGTGGATTCAAAAGCACTTGATGGTGGCAGTAGATTTTATCCCCAACATTTAGGTTTTTAAGATTTTGGGAGGAAGTTTTATACCAAAGCCTGTAGAGATCAGGTTTTGGGGTCCTTTTGTGGGCCTCCACTTTTGCATTTATCATGCCAGAGTGGGGAATTAGCCTGTGTCTGCTCACGAATGGACCAATCTGTGATGCTCCCTGGTTTGCACTGCAGAGCAGCCTTACATCAAACTGTGCATGAGGAGGAGAAATCCAAAAGCCAGGATGGAGTCAGCCAATGTCCGAGCTGGGGATAACGGCACGGCAGAGTTTTTCTCTGAAACAAGACAAGAGCCTGTTATTTAGAGGTGCAGCTGTTCATTAACAATCATACTACAGGTCTGCCTCATCACTGCCATGGCATAACCCTCGAGCGGGTGGAGAGGATGCACAGCAAGGAACATAGGGAGCCCTCTCCCTGCTGGGAGCACTTCCCCTCACTCCTTACACCACCAGTGAGTGCAGAAAGCCTCCGCCCCCAAGCTGCTTCAATCACCCAGGATGGCGTTTCTCATCTCTCTGTGCCGAAGGAGCCAAGGAGACTCCTCAAAACCCAGAGGAGCCCACACTTATCGACCAGAATCTCACAGCCTGCCCCAGAACCCAGTGCCCCTCTGCAATGGCACAGCCTCCTGGCAAACCCTCTGGGAGCCCCGCGAACACACAGTCTGCATGGCATCTTCCAGGGAGTCTCTCCCAAGGGGAGAGGGAAGCACATGGCTCCCTCCCTGCTGCAATACTTTATAGCTTGTACTAACACAGGGTGGGCAAGAGGCAACCGTCAGGCTAGATGTGGCCTGCCAAGCCACCAGATCCAGCCCACAGGTACCTCCCCAGAACCCTTAGGTGGGGAGCAACTCATGTTCTGCTCTGGATGCTGGGGAGCTAGGAGGGAAGCTTTGCATAGTGTGTGTCCCCCCACCCCCCCAGCAGCAAAATCTCTCAGCTCTCATTGGCCAGTTTCCAGCCAATAGGAACTGAGAAATTTTGTTGGGGGGCAGCATGTAACACCTCTCCCTCCCTCCCATGCCCAGAGCAGAGCCACATGCAGCAGCCAGCCCAGGAGCCTGAGACTGCAGCAGGCAGCCTGCCTCAGGGGCCTTCAGGGGTGGCTGGGGGCCGTGGTGGGAAGCAGC